GAGCTCGCTTCCTTCTTCGCACATCCATGACCTAAGAATTAATAGACACCATCTTGAAGAAAAGAGAACAAAATAATAAAAGTGAATCCCACAGGTCAACGAAACAGGAAGAAACCGAGGGCTGACGAAACGACGGAACAAGCGCGACGGCAAGTACGTGTACGCCCGAGGAACAAAGATCTAGCGCACGAACTGTTTGAAATTGAAAATGTAGCTTTTTTGGGGGGGGGAGTCTGACCAGTTTCAATTACATTTTCATTAAACAAATAAAATTAAGCTGACGTTCACTTCAATGTAGCAATTGTCTAGTGGAAGCAATCTAACCAGTGTCTTCAGCTCGATTCCGCCATCCATCCAGAGGTTCCATACATCAATTTTCTGAACATCAAAACACAGACACTAAAGAACAATAGACAATGTGCATTAATTCCACATAAAAAGATTCAAGCTGAATCCAAGGTTTTAAATTTTAGCACAAAAACATCCTCAAGAGCTCGAAAACGACGGTAAAACGACAGTTAAACGACGATGGTTTTAAGTTAAAATCGATTACTTGAACAGTTGTCAAAGAAAACAAAGATAAAAAAGGGACAAGGACAAGAAACGATACAAAATGGAAACTACTAAAGCAGAAAATGTGCAAAAATAAAACAAAACAAAACCCCCAACCAAATACAAAACAGCAACCACCACAACATACAGCAAAACAGAAAGCAAAACAAAATGACAATAAAGAAAGAAATTTGACCAAAGTTGTGTTTACCTATCAGGTTCTGTACGTTTGCTTTTTCCTTTGTCGACCGTTTTCGTCATACAGTCCTGAACATGAAAGAGAAAAAACTAAAAAGAAAGAAACGTTACTTGAAATCAAAATCATGAAACGAAATGCTAGCCATTATAAAGGTACATGCAAGAAACTAAACATTATTTGAAGGATCGAAAGCGAAATAAAAAAACACCGATCACAAACGGGTCACAAAGACACGAATTTATGAATAGTCATTAAAGGGAAACAAGAAGGGATTAAAAACTCACATTTAAGCAGAATGTCCATTCCACTTCATCAGAAACACGTCTAAACTATAATTTTTTTATTCGATAATGTACAAAAATGCGACTAATTGTCGTTTAGTTCGACAGCCCGTGAATCACCAAACCTTCTACATTATATTCTCCCTTTCCGTTTATATGCTGCCCATTTAGCACTTCCTGTATGCACAATAATAATCACATCGGGGTGACGATGTCAAAAT